CTCCATCTATTAGTGGGGAGCATCACCTGCTGGAAAACGGGTCCAGCGTCCCATAAAACAGATTAAACAGATTTGACCTGCCATAAGGAGACCTTTCCTGCCAGCATTGATTGCCCTGGCTTCCCGGGGATTAACTGAGCAGGAGATGACGGAGGGGGGGGGGAACCTCTTCACCCAGAAACCGGCGCCAAATACCTGCTGCTATGTTCTAGCTCCTCCGTCCCCCTACCGTCCCATAGCTGTGTTTTTTTTTTGGGAGAGCATTTATAAGAATTTACATTAGTTTGCTTGGAAGAAAGCAATGGGACAGGACCGTGATTACTCCGTCCCCGTCAAACCCCTCCCTCCCTCTCTCTCTCTCTCTCTCTCTCTCTCTCTCTCTCTCTCTCTCTCTCTCTCTCTCTCTCTCTCTCTCTCTCTCTCGTACTCTCTCTCTATCTCTCTCTCGTACTCTCTCTCTCTTCTCCCTCTCACTCTCTCGCACTCTCTCTCCCTCTCTCTCACTTTCTCTGTATCTCTCCTTCTTCCTTTCCTTTTTCCTTCAATCCCTCCCGTACCATTGGAGATCTACAATGCAGTTTGAAGGGGGTGGGAAGGGGTCGGGGAACTCTTGGGCGGGTTTCATCGGGATCGCTGTGTCTACGTTTGTCCAGTCGTTGAATAGCAGCGCCGGTAATTCCTTTCTAAACCCTCCCCCTCCTTTTGTCCTGCTTTCCAGTCCACTCTTCCTACCCTTCCCCCTTCGACTGATGGTATCCTATGGAGCCGAATTGAAATTTCTGGGCCACAGGGGGTCGGACAATCAACCTTGTTTACTCGACCCTTTCCCTGATAGCCACACCTTCCTGAACATCCCAATACTACTTCCCCCCCTCTGAAAATCCAACAAAAAAAATAGCAGATTCAACGGTATCCCGGTTCACCCCCGGGGGCTGGCCCGGCAACTGGTGAACCGGGGGAAGTGAACCGGCCGGTTGCTGGGACTGCCCGGGCCCCTTCTCAGCCGAGCTGCCCGGGAACCAGCACAGGAATTTAGCACCCGAGAACAGCAAAAACAAAAAAAATAAAAACATAGGCCCGCTAGTGAAGATACTGTACCGAGATCTATGATGTCCGTGTGGAGCCCAAATGTCTGGGCTTTCTAGGAATGCTGGGCGCGTGGATGTCACGGAGGATGTCAATGCAGCAATCCTCCTGGGAACCTTAATGAAAGTAGACAGTTCAAAACCCGAAGACCTTCTGGCGGCGGAAATCATACGGGCAGCAGTACTATGGGCCCTGTGGACCCTGCGGAATGAATGTTGCAGACAGGGAGCATCCAAATCACTTCAAGCATAACAGGAAAGGGTGCTTAGGCAGTCAGTGCCACAAGGGCAAGGCTGACCCTATTCTCTCATCGTTTTCTTCCTCAGTGGCTGTAAAAACACGCTTGCCAGTGATGAGCAACTGGACGGACACCGCCCAGAATAGAAGAAGCCTTGTGTTCCTTGAAAAAAACAAAGGAAAAATTTTTAAAAACCAGCGAAGGCCGTCACAGAGGCAATACTCACACTAGTTCTTGGAAGAATGCATCTAACCAACATCCTAGGCGAGAGAGAGATGACGTTGTTCTTGTGTCTTTTATTTCCCTTTTTCTCTGAGTGCCCTGCCAGTGAGGCAGGGCGAATTCTGCGGTCTGCTGATATGCCCTCGCTGAGGGCATACTCACACAGGTACCACTCGAAAGACCGAATCAGACCGCTTTCACCGCCACAGCAGTGTTTCGTTTTGTTTTTTTTTTCTCCTTTTTTCAGTCTGACGACCTGACTGTCACGGCTGAAACGCCCTCACTGAGGGCATCCTCACACTGGTACTTGAAAGAATGAATACAACTGGTTTTCCAGGCCAAAGGTCTTTTTTCCACCCTTCTTCACTTGTGAATATAACCACCACGACAAGATGAGTTTCCCTTCGGGTACCAAAACAAAAATTCAGACGGGACCATCATCCAAAAGCCAGGCTCGGCAAAAATTGGTGCGCAGTTAAAATCGGAGTCGGCAAAAAAGGGATTGGAGGTAGTACTGGAGAAACAGAGAACAAGAGCAGATGAAGAAAAAGGCTTGTGGTCCCTGGATCCCTGGACAAGTGAGATTACCATCATGCCGCTGGGGAGACGCAACAAGAGGATTCTGTTGACTACCCGTAGCTCAGCAAACTGGAGATGAGCATGGTGGGGGCAACGGGGGCGGAACAGTGGGAGCAGGAGTCTGTTCCCCATATATTGCCACATAGCTATCAACTAGAAGAGCGCGCTTTGTGAAACAAGCGCACAGAATAGCAGACGGCACGAAGCACACTGTAACCATTCGTTTGCCTTTCCCTGAGCTGGCCTCTATTTTTTGGGTCTTCATTTCAGCTTTTTTCACAGTTTCTCCTCTTTTTTTGCCCCTCTATTTTTTTTCTCTTCTTTTTGTCCTCCTTTTTAACCTACTTCTTTCATTCTTTTTCCCTTCTTTCGTTCCTTCTCTTTCTTAGAAAAAGGCAACGACCTATAAACCGCAAGTACACCACCCGCGCAAACTTGAGAAACAAAAACGAGACATTCCGAAAAGTTCGGATGAACAGTGCTACCGGACCAAAATCGTGGGCGGCACCAGCCCCCCCACCCCCGAAAAAAAAAAAAAAAAAAAAGAACAAAAAAAAAACGGTGTGCTGGCATTTTGGCAAAGCCAGGCGCGCAGGGGGAATCCACCTCAGCAAAAAGAGGCTCGGATGTACTTGTGGTTTACGCTATCGTCATTGTGCTGACCGGCCCAAAGTAATTCAGGATTATATCATTCTACTCATCTGATTGCACCTGGATTTGATCCTGGGTCTGTATTTCAACAGTTCATGAGTGTACCAACTGAGGTAGACCCATTGGCACACGTGGTTTCTCCTCTATTTCTTTGAGCTCCCCATGCACTGTGCCTCTCGCATGAAAACAAAGAGACAGATATCGGGGGTGGACTATCGGCGGCAGGGAGTAAAGGACAAGAAGCAGGGAGCTGTGACAGACTGTATCGTTGGGTTTCACCAACTCATGAGGGGGCTGCCACTTTAACAGTCTGCAGACCCTCCTAACAGATGATACTGCAAGCCCTACTCCACCTTAAACCGCCCGTACTTCCGAACCTCTTTTTCCCAATGCGGATTCACACTGAGCGTCAAAAGGAAAAACACCCACAAACAAAGAAAAAGGGATGACACAGCCAGAATTTACGCTCCAGACACACCTCTGACACTAGACACACAACATAGCCTAAACCTGACCCATGAGCCATTGCAGGGAGTCCGCAAAGTTGTGGTCTATATTAGGCCTCACTCCACTACACAACATTCTATATGCCACTAATGGTCCCAATTCACTCGAAATGTTGGATTAGTCCAATGTATCTCTGATACCATACAGTCAAGATACATGTACAATGTGTAGCGCAGCGAGGCCCATTACCACTAACTACCCAGTGAACCAGGGGCTGATATGGAGAGAAGGACACGAACCGGGGGACCGCACCGGACTTTTCGTTGGAATCCCACCAAATCATCTGAATGTCATACATACAGACACACATATATCGTCATATATGCATGCCCACCTCAGTCAGGGTATCAATTGTCAGGCAGTCATTGATGCTTAACCACAAACGGGGTTAAGGTGGATTTATCACAATACAGTATCATCGGTTAGGGGACTCTGCAGACTGTAGAGGGTTCAGCCTTCTGATGAGTCGGTGAAACTCCGATTCTGTCACAGCCCCTCGTTTTTTGTCCTATTCTCCCTCTCTGCCTACAGTTTACCAGGAAGTTCTGTTTGACGATGTATTATACTGCCAAACGGGCACAATGCACGAGACAAATGGCGAAAATAGAGGCAGCGTGAGGCACATTGAAACCGTTCTTTTTTCGACTTTTTTTTTTCAAGTCTTTTGCAATTTCTCCTTTTGTCTTTCTTTGGACTTTTCTCATGGCACCTTTTATTTTTTATTTCCGCTCTCCCTCTACTGCACACCTTATTTATGTGTCTCACTTCACAACTTACCGAAGTGCAAAATCGCCGGTGCGTTTTCTGAACTTTTCTCACCACTCTCGAGAGGGGCCTGAAAAAAACTCACCAAATTTATTTTCGACTTCGACCACACCGCTCACCACAAACAGGAACCCGCCAATGACACATAGCGACAAACGAGTTTCTGGTGAGCGCTGTGGAATGGCCCTCAGTGCCCTCACTCCAACAGCAAAATAATAATGAGCCTTGCTGCAACGCTCACCAAGCTCATCTCATTTTTCGGTGAGTGGTGGGAACAATGCTGCGCCACTCATCGATCGTTCGTTCAGGGATCAGAATTTTCATCCTCCAATGTGAAAATCAGGTTTGGTGAACAGTCGCCAAGTGCTCTTTTTTTTTTTTTTTTTTTGTAAGTGCACTGTTCTTCCCGCCTGCCACATTGCTTTTTGGTATGCCCTTTCAGTGGCCCGCCAAAGTGGTGAGGATGGCACCGGTCCCGACCAGTTTGTTTTTCACAAATTTTCAGTGTTCCTATTTGCTCCACCAGATTGGCAAATCGCAGAGGACTTTTTTTTAGTGAATCTAACGGACAACTGGGTCGGGAGCAGGCAAGAAGGTGGTCCGCTAGTGGAGCGAGGGCTGCTCCACAGCACTCACCAGAACCTTGTTTTGTCTTTTTGTGCCATTGGCGAGTCCCTTGTTGTGGCAAATGGGTAAGTATTTGCAGGGCCTTGACCACTGCTCACCAAATGTGAAAAAGACAAACTACGGCGGGTGTATCTTTCCACGTTCAGTCAGAAGATACATTCTCCATTTTGCACATTTGGTCTGTCGTGTGGCCAGGCCCATGCATAATGTAGAACTGTTTCCATGGAAACCAAACAAAGAAAAAATATATATATACATATATTGTCACACTGTGAATCAGAGCGTGAAAGCGAAAAAAAGCAAAACAAGGAAAGGAAAAGAAGGAAGGAAGGAATACATATGCAGACTATCTCACTCTATCTTTGTGTCCACAGTCCATCCTCTTTTCCCCTGCCGGTCCCCTCACTCTCTTTTCTTTTTCTGTGACAAGTGGATTCATCAAATGGAGAGGAAGGAGATTGGGGAGGAGGCAAGAATGGTCACAAACGGCGTCAAAGGAGGAGGGGAGGAGGGGAGGAGGGGAGGAAACACTCCTTCAGGTACCTGTGAGTTTGGAGGAGGTTGCGGAACTCCTCTTCCAGCTTCAACAAAGCTTTGTTAAGCAAGCCTAGTGCATGATGAAGAGCCGCTTCCGTGCTCTTGAAGTGCCTCTTCTTGTCAAAAAAGTCAACCACCTCATGAAGTTGGTCAATCGCCAAAAAGTAGTTCTCATAGTCGTTCACTTGGTTGGCGAGAATGACTGATTCCACCTACAGATGTGTAATATACACCCAGCACACCAATCAGTAAATCAATCGGTGAATGAATTCACCAAGGGAGCAACAAAGCGAAGGGCCACACCATAATTATTACTCCAAAATTTTAACTTTTTCAAAAAATGTATTCAAATTTGACACACTATGTGACAGATTTTTAACCCGTAACTTCCATAACCACAAAACCTCCCATGCTCTCGCAGCTCTCTTTTCTTTTCTTTCTTCTTTAAAGTTCTTTTACCTTTTCTTTCATTGTGTGGACCACAGGGGCCATTCTTATCCAATTCCAGTGGATGTTCCAAAGGACGCTCTTTTCTTTTGTTTTCTAACTTCTCTTTCCTTTGTCTTCCTTTTTTTGTGCATTTCAACGCTCTTTTTTGTTTTTGTTTTCTTTCCTTTGTCTTCCTCTGTTCCAAAGGACGCTCTTTTCTTTTGTTTTCTGACTTTTCTTTCCTTTGTCCTCCTTTTTTTGCGCATTTCAAAACACTCTTTTTGTTTTTGTTTTCTTTCCTTTGTCTTCCTCTGTTCCAAAGGACGCTCTTTTCTTTTGTTTTCTAACTCTTCTTTCCTTTGTCCTCCTTTTTTTGCGCATTTCAACGCTCTTTTCTTCTGTTTCCTTTCCTCTCGTCTTCCTTTTTTCGTGCATTTCAAGAATGGAAACAAAAGGGAGAGAAGAATGCGGAGAAGAGGGGGATGAAGAGGGGTGCATGCCCAACTACCAGTCCTCCCATGGAAGAATCCAGTTAGTAGCGAGGGACCATTTCGGATTAATTTTAGTTCTTGTCTTGAATCTCACAACACGTTTGCAACTTTGTTATTTTCCCTGATCTTGTTTCAGGCAGAATTCGAAACCAATAATGACCTTGCCCAAATACAAAAATGTAGGTGAGTCGTATCTATTTTCGCTATTTTTTTCAAGTTCGCTGCTGGCCAGATTGCAAAATTGCAACCCGGGACCCATCAGTAGAGACCCTAGTAGCTGTTCGAAGACACACATAGGACCTGGACACGTAGAACTACCTAGAATAGAGCACAGTAGGACCTCTACAGAGGTGGGCCGGGCAAAACCGATTTGACGAAAGTAGTGAGGTAGCAGCTGCAGTTTTTTACATAGCTTTTCGTTCACAAGGTTTGGAATGATGAGGAAAGAAGCAGCAGCGCTATTTTTAGCGGCTGAATCTGCTCTAACAATGCCCTCTTCGTCAACTAAAACAACTGGAAATGTCTCAAAGAAAGCAGGCATACGACATACAAATAATTCATGTCCTTCTTTATCTTTGAATACTGCATGGCCTAACCACCCTACTGCGATTCCATCTCCATTATCCATAGGCCCAACACATCCATAGCCATTGTGTTCTCGCACTATGCTGTGATGTGTTCCAGTGCAGTTTGTCACCGGCTGCGTAACGCAGCGAGGCACCCCCATTTTCACGGAGTTTGCTGGTGTGATTCTAGAATCAATACATACGGTTGGCGTGCAGTTTCCTATCAATTGTGATTTGCTTTCAGTCAATTTTGCATAAATGATGGTTGTTGAAGCTGTTTCAAGTCTGGCCTGACAGATCGCAAAACACCTCTTCTATTCTAGCATTTGATTCGGTGCAAACACTGCAAAGCTCATCGCCCTGGCTGCCACTTGTTTGTCAAAATGCTGCCCATCAGGAGGCTGCAGAATCCCCTAACTGATTACACTCTGCAGAATCCCCTAACTGATTACTCTCTGCAGTTAGGGGATTCTGGTAAACCGTAGTCAGAGAGGGAGAAGAGGACAACAAACGAGGGGCTGTGCAGTTAGTTAGTATGGTCTACACTACGAATTGGTGGCAAGTTCGATTAAAATGACCCTTTGGTTTTCTTATAAATGGCATGGCAAGTGGTCTGAAAATTAGGGTCTTCGTTAACCTTCTCTCAAACTCCGACGAAACAGTTTGTCACAGCCCCTCGTTTGTTGTCCTCTTCTCCCTCCCTCTCTGCCGACGATTTACCGGGCGTGATATATATCGTCAAACAGAACTGCCAGGTGAATTGTAGGCAGAGAGGGAGAAAAGGACAACCGATGGGGGGTTGTGATACTCTATATACCGTCAAACAGAACCGCCCAGTAAGCCATTGGGAGAGAGGGAGAAGAGGACTACAAACGAGGGGCTGTGACAGACTATTTCTTCGGAGTTTCACTGACTCATGAGGCTGCACCCTCTACAGTATGCAGTCCCCTAGCCGATGATACTGAAAGTGATAATCCAGCTTAACCCCGGTTGTGGTTAAGCATCATGACTTCCCGACAACTGATACCCTGAGGGGGGCCCTCAAGGTACCTGTGACATATGTATCTATAAATTCTATACATATGCCAAAATGCTGCCCATGCAGAAAGGTTTCTTTGGGTAGAGTCCTTCATACACACAAGGCATGCAGAATGTCAGTGGAAAAGTTTATTTATATTATTTTAGTAATATGAATTCCAATTGTTTGGGGACAGAGGAAGAGCAGTATGCTGAGGTAGTACATCTCCAACGCATGTATCACGGAAAATAAGTCATTAATTTTAAGCCGGGCTTGTCAGCCTGCCTGAATGTCTGCGTGCTCAGCAGCAGCAGCGACTGCATGTATTACTGTCACCAAAGACATGTCTATTCAACATTTTGCGTTTTACCTGTCGCGAGACGTCAAACTTCACCAGAATCGAGTCCGCAGCCGTCAATGCCTGTTCTATGTTCTCAAAAGCTTTCCGGAAAGCATGGGTTCGAACCTGCAATGAAAAAATCATCCACAAAGCGGCCCATGATGTCGAATTCCAGATAATGGCAAAGTCAAACACCAGCAAAATATAGTTGGAACTTGAAACGTGAAAAAAAGTTCGGGAAACAAAAAAAGCAAAAAGGGGGTGAAAATCAAGAAAACAAACAGAGTCAAACAAGAACGAAGTCGAACAACAGGAACACAATAACTAGCAAACGAGGATCACGGAATCAAACACTCCCGCCGTCAGCGATGTGATTGTCGGTTGCTTGAGGAGCCAAGCAAAAGAAGAACAAAAAAGAAAAGAAAAAAAGAAAAAAAATGCAATCACAAGATTCACAACTCCCAGCTTCTGGCCTATTCACCACTCTAGGGGAGCAGGGCAGGCAACACCAGGCAGTGGAAAAGCTGATGGACAAAGCTCTCCCTCTCCCTTTCCTGAGCACAACACATCTCAAGCCAGCGATTCCTTAATCCAACCTGCAGAGCAGTATGGATCGCGGCCCAACTCAAGTTGGCACAGTTCCTCGGCTCAACCTGAGGAATCGCAAACTGCAAGCCTACCTTATGCAGTCTGATTGTGCAGTATATGTACTGCCATCTGGGTGTCGCCAAGCCATCGCTACAGTAATTAAGCACAACCAATATTGACAATTGCCAGGCATGCAGCGACCAAGCAATCAGATGTACGAGAAGGGCTGCTCACTACATTACAGCTGAGGATAAGCATAATGTTAGTAGCAAACAGTTCATCAGTGGAGATCCGGAAAACCTTGGGGATGTTTCTTGTTTTTATTTTTTTAAACCACCAGATACCAGTATGCAATGACTTGTTGATTCTGCAGCCTGCGACCCGTTGACCCGAGGCTGTAGAATAGGTAGGCTAGATTCGCTATTTTGGTTGGCTGAGGGCTAACCGAGATATCTGAATGTGAGGGACATATCTGTAAATTTGGGAAAATTGCAGGCCCAGACTAACTCGAATTTTCCTCACTGCGAGTAGCAGGCCCGGGCTACCACTAGGACAGAGGCCGTGAGGCCTATGCTGTTAGACGTTTGCTATAGCCTATGGCCGGGTAGGGAGAGGCCCGAGAGGCCAAACTGGAACGGTACCGGTCAGTCCAGTCAGTCCGGACTAGGTCGTGTCTAGGCTAGGGTAGACTAGGAACAGGTTCAGGAAAAACGGTTCGGGGATTTTCACAGTTGGTACCGTGAACATCGCAACGGCGCAGTGCATGAACTGGAGTGGTGACAGTTTCAGCATTGGGGCAACGGACATAGCCGGACCTTCGAAGCATCGGCCATAGCTGGGACCTGCGTTGTTCTCTGACAGCATGCGGGGCTGTTCAGAGGTCTGGGCTATCTGAAGTCTGCTGGAGGCAAGAGAAGTTGGTGCCCAGCTGAACCATCCTCAGGAGTAGGGTATCATCTTTGTCAGGGGACGTGGCGCTGCTGCAGACTTCCATCCAGGAAGTCGCCTGGCACTTCATCATCATCAGAGTCCGTGGCGCTGATCTTCTTCTTCATCCTCTGAGAGGCACGTGGCCTCAGAGCCCTGTTTCAGGGTGTCGCTTCCCTCTGGAGGCAGTATCTGGGTGGTGCTGGTTGTTTCAGGGACTCAGAGGTAGTGATAGCGGTTACTCAGGGTTGGGGAAAGAAGCGGTGTTCATTTACTGTTCTGGGGTTCTGACAAATCAAGACTCTGAGTTTAATAAACAGTGTTGATACTGTGTCTTAACTATCTTTGCTTCATTGCTTGCTGGATGTGATCAACTCGGCTTTCCTTAATGACTGGTTGTGAGGATTCTGTGGAGTGAATTACACTTTCAGTGTACTCTGTCATATCGCATGGCTAAGTCTTCCGCTGAGGATTCTGTGGAGTGAATTACACTTTCAGTGTACTCTGTCATATCACATGGCTAAGTCTTCCGCTGTGTTTATATCTCCCTGTGCGGTGTGATACTCCGATCCTCTCCCCTTCCTTCTGTGTATGTATGGGCATACCTGGAAGTCTATGTGAGCGAGTGTTGGTCTTCAGACAACAAACAACCAGGTGCATAACAAGTACCTTTCCCAGGCAAAGTCAACAGGGGGAAAAAAGCAACATTCTGAAGACTTCCGATGAGAAGTGCTACTGGACCAAAGTGGCTGGCAAGAGGGGAGGGGGAGGGGGGGGAGGGAGGGGAGGGGGAGGACGCCGCCATGGTGGTTCCTTGTTTTTTTAAGCTAAATTTTCTGTCAAATTCACCTTTTCACCACATACCTACTGCTACTCCTGAGCCTATACAGAAAACCCCTGCAAGCATAGCAACCTCTCACAATCAAGGGGATGCATGTTTGGCCCCTGCCCCAATCAGCGGTAGTCAGGAAGTACGGTGGGGCAACCGGTGATGGGGGCGGCTAACACAAAGACCAAGCACTTTGCTAGTAGCTGCAGCTCCTGTCTACTTCCCCTGCCCCCATTTGAGTAAGGGCAGTGTCTGAGGACAACGCTGTCCCACACGCCACACACAATCCACAGACACACACACACACACACACACACGCACACACACACACGTGTTCGCTAAACACCCTTTCTTGGGCATGGAGGGGGAGTCCACCTTGGCAAAAAGGGGCTCAGAGGTAGTGACGATTTAAAACAGGCCCTTATGGACCTTAAAGATGACTTGTAATCAGATGCAATACGGATGCTTACCTGGCTGTTACGTCCATGCCCCAGTTTCCATTTTGTCCCGGTGTACATAGATGCTCCTCGCCGTTGTTGCCATGTTCCATCTCTGACTCTGATTTAACACTCCAATCCTCCTCCTCTGACTTATGGATCCGTAAGGAGTCCAGATGATGAGCTTGCAGACAGAAGAGCTACATTTCTATGCACTCATCACCATGCATGGTGCTTATCACCAAAATGCATGGTGCTTATCACCAAAATGCATGGTGCTTATCACCAAATGCATGGTGCTTATCACCAAAATGTAAGGTGTCCAGGTCATGGCTCAGACACCGACCATCTAGTGCTGTTCCTGGGTTCACATCTTCACCATCCATCTCGGTTGTCGAAGGTGAGCTCCCTCTGGACACTGAATCGAGGGAACAAGTGGATGATGGGGAGCAGGTGTGTGAGGCTCAGTTATTCCTATGATGTGACAGCTGGGATGGCTGGATTTTGTGGGGCCATTTGGCACAGTTACTATCATATCACCATTCATTTCCTTACCCACTACCCCTCTACGAGATATATCTGGGGAGAGAAGAAAGATAATCTCCGATCAGTTTGGCTCTTCAGAGACACATTTGTATTGTTCCAAACAAAAGAGAAAGAAATAAATATGAACTATGAACTCCAAAGAGCACCCCTAAGGTTCCGAATGAATACTAGCCTTTTAATCTCACTATATGCTGGAAAGCCTCAGACGGTACGAAGTACAAAGTCCTGGATTTTAAAACCACCCACTACCTTTCAGAGGCAAAGGCTAATCGTGAATATAACCTAACCGCATTCTTCGGAGGCAGAGCGCCGCAGGACCAAAATCGCCAGCCAAAACAAAAGAAAAGGGCGCTCCAGCAAAGCTTGGCACGCTGTTCTTTTCCACCTCAGCTAAAAGAGGCTCGGAGGTAGTGGTGGTTTAAGCGAAGTCTCAAGGAGAAGGTGAGGGGGGCAGGCAAGGGATCAGGTAAGGGGGGACCCTCAAAAATAACCGGCCCCAATACAGTCATGATGAGGGTGCCAGCGTGATAAAGGGAAGACGGTAGTGCTTCCTGAACTTTCTGTCCGATCATCCAACTGCAGTGTGTGGCTATCCTGACCTGATGCACATTCCTCAGTCTATAGCTGCAATTTAGGAGGATATAGCTGAGGGATAGGGACACTACTCCCCTTTCCCTCACTGACCCCACGTTACAGGCCCAAGCAGAGGCCCCACAAGTCAAATTTAAAAAGGCAGCAGCTTCGCCAGTGATCTGTACATTTTAAGCAGTCCACAGAGGCCCATCAACAATTATTAGGGCTATTCCTGAATCTCCGGGCAATTTCCTGCGTGTTTTGTCCTGATTATATTTACTTCGTTTATTTTCTTTCTGGCCAGCAGATGAGGGGTAGTACTGAAGCCGGTCCTCAAGGGCCATTTTTGTCATTGGTGGCAGGACCACTGTTATTTTCTTTTGTAATAATCACAGCACGAGCACAGCACCCTGCCAAGGCTGTAACATCAAATCGAATGCTATGTGAACGCGCTCACCGTCACATCGTATGCTATGTGAATGCGCTCATCGAGAACATGCAGAATCCACCTTCCTGAAAACTTAAAAGGTCGAGTTGGGGAGATGGGGGCTGGGTGTGAGGGCTTGGGCTGGGGATGGGCAGAGGTAATGGAGACAGCAAAGAGAAGGGTTATGGAAGAAGAAGGGAAGATGGCAGAGGGAAGAAGATGGTGGGGAAATCCACCTTCCTGAAAACTTGGAAGTAGAGTTGGGGAGATGGGGGCTGGGTGTGAGGGCCTGGGCTCGGGATGGCCAGAGGTAAGGGAGACAGCAAAGAGAAGGGTTATGGAAGAAGGGAAGATGGCAGAGGGAAGAAGATGGTGGGGAAAGAATAAAGAAAACAGAGAAGAAGAATGAAGAAGAAGCAAAGGAGAGAAGAAGCGACGCCACCCCTCTGTACCCCTGATAATTACATAAAATCGTTACAGCATCTGCACTGGAAAAACACCGACGGAAGAAGAAGAAGAAGAAGAAAAAGGAAGACCAAAAAGAGAAAAGAAGAGGCAAGGCCCCGATGGGTTTAGCCTCATAGAGGGGTTTAAAAGTGTGCATCTCGACTTCGTTTCTATTCTACCTTTCATCTTTGAAAACAAAGGGGCATTTGGAGACGACCCTCAGCTAGAAGTCGTTTGCACAATCATTTTACAGTTTCTTTTTTTTTTTTCCCTTTGCACAATGGGACTGCCCGGCAGCATCTTGCCCAGGCTTTGACCTGGAGGGACCCTAGCGGACCTGGG